GTGGGAGCCGTGTGCACGCCTGTAGCGCCTTCTCTGCTCGAGGAGTCTGAGCTTCCTCCCAGCAGGCTGTGTGCATGCCAGCCCGAGCCTGTGCCCGCGGAGGAGCCCGCCTCCTCGCTGCTCACTGCAAGGGCTCACTGCTCACGCTTTGCCCAGTGCTTGTCTCCCCGTGCTGCAGGCGGTGGCCAGGCCACCTTGCTCAGAGCCCACATGCCCGGGTGCCTCCCGCTGCCAGCCGTGCCTGGCATCTCCTCCCGGTCGCTGAGCCGGCCTCTCTCCACAGGCAGCATCCCCGGGCCCATCGCCTTCGGCTGGGTGATTGACAAGGCCTGTCTGCTGTGGCAGGACCAGTGTGGCCACCAGGGCTCCTGTTTTGTGTACCAGAACGCAGCCATGAGCCGGTACATGCTCACCGCAGGGCTTTCCTACAAGGTGAGGCGCGGCAAGGCCCCCTCCGGCTCCCAGGGCTCCAGGTGCTCTGGGCCCAACCCCAGCACATGAAGGCCTCTTGGCCTGGTCTGCAAAGGGACATTCTCCCCATCCTTGTCCACACGTGACCCAGCCCAAGGAAGCCAAGGGACAACTAGGCCTGAGACGGATGGTGGCTGGGCATTGGGAGCAGCTCCCCCCCCTTCCCCCCGCTGCACTGCCCACCCCTGCGTGACTGCTGGTCCTGGCTGGAAAGCCCTGGAGAGGTCCAGAATGGCTCCAGTGGGGAAGAGCAGCCCCCAGCTGGGCTCCTGAGAATGGTACCATCCTGCGGGTCCGTGTGTGTGTGTGTGTGTGTGTGTGTGTGTGTGTGTGTGTGCGCTTGGGTGATCATTTTAGAAGCAGGTGCACATGGGCTCCCCCTCGATCCCTCAGCCTTGGATCCCTGCACAGCCCGTAGAAACAGCCCTGTGTGCAGCCTCCACCGTAAGCAGAGGTGCCCCAGAAAACACCAGGGCAGACACGGAGACCACTGATGGCCGCTGGCACCCGGAGGGGCGGTGTGGCCCCGGCTGCAGACACGGAGGCTCAAGCAAGGGAGCAGCCCCGATGCCCAGGCTGAGTCCGTGGGCAGCGGGCAGCACACGGTCCCTTCTCGTATCAGGACGGCGGGTTTAGGGCCGGCTTCCATCCAGGGGGACCTTGTCTTCCATGTGGACCTCTATACTAGCTGTTTCCCTTCCCAGGTGCCCAGGCTGGGGCTGGCACCTGGGCTTTCTGCCACCTTGCCGTCTGCCTGTGTTTAGACCTGGCACGGGGGTGTGCAGCCTGCAGGCTGCAGCTCATTCGGTACCTGACGGGGCAGACTGCGTGCCTCTCAGCCTGTGCTGACGACTTGACATGGTGTCCTCCCCTGGCCCCATCCCCACCCCCTGTCATTCAGACAAGGGTGGCTCTCATTTCCTCTTAAAGCACCGTGGGTGCCCGTAAGCCCAGCCCTGTGGGGAGCCCGTGTCTTCACGCCTGTGCGGGTCTGATTCCGGGTGTGGGATGAGGCCTAGCAGCCTTCTGTCCCCCCAGGTGCTCGGCTTCCTCTTCTTCGCCACTGCCTGTTTCTTGTACAAGTCGCCGTCGGGTTCTTCAGACGGCCTGGACAGCACCTCCCTGCCCAGCCAGTCCTCTGCCTCCGATGGCCCCGCAGACCTGCAGCTGCAGAGCCGCGTCTGACCCGGCACACAGCCGCCCTCTGTCTCCCAAGAACAGCCCCGCCCCGCCCATCCTGCCCAGCCCTTCTCGGAAGAGCTGAAGACCCGGAGACAAGCTCATCTTGGATTCTGGGGGCCAGGAGAAGGGATATGGGACACACCAAACACAGCCCCTCCTGGCCCAGGGCTGGCCCCGGGGCTGCTGGATCTGGGCAGCCCACCTGATGTGTTCAGACTTGCCACCTGTCCTCAGCAGGGCTGCAAGAGCAGCTGTATAACTAGATGTCTGTGGACCCACATTTCACATCTCTGTGCTTGTGGGGTTTGTCTCTACCTGGTCACCTGGTGTTTGTCAGGGAAACTCCAGCCAGGGCCGAGTCCTGCACCAAGCAATGAGTGGTCAGTGTGTTCCTATGTGTCTTCCGTTAAAACCACGTATGTAATATATTTTAATATTTAAAGTACACACCTGTGCAGTGTGTGTGTTTCCCTCGGTTGAAGTTGCGATTCCCATGGTTTCCATGGCATTGGGAGTCCCTGGCACTGCCAGCGCCTCTGCTTCTCCCGAGGCCACAGCAGCGGTGGGCCCGACGGGCTGTGCTCCCGGCCGTGGGGACGGGCCTGCATGGCCTGGCTCTGACCCACGTCGGCATGACCTGGACGGCTGGACGGTGGACATGGGACGGGCAGCTACACTGCCATCTGCAGATGAGGCTGTGCACACACGAGCGTGTACATCTGTGCGCACATGTCGGTGTGCCCAGCAGGGTGGAGGGGTGGGTGCACACGAGCGTGTACATCTGTGTGCGCACATCTCATCTCTGTGTGCCCAGCAGGGTGGAGGGGTGGGTGCACACACGAGCGTGTACATCTGTGTGCGCACATCTCATCTCTGTGTGCCCAGCAGGGTGGAGGGGTGGGTGCACACACGAGCGTGTGCATCTGTGTGCGCACATCTCATCTCTGTGCCCAGCAGGGTGGAGGGGTGGGTGCACACACGAGCGTGTACATCTGTGTGCGCACATCTCATCTCTGTGTGCCCAGCAGGGTGGAGGGGTGGTATGGCATGAGTCCTCTGCTCTGACCCATGGGTGTGTGAGTTCCCAACAACAGTGCGTCCCAAAGAGATGCAGCCGGTGAACCCTCGGCACCAGGCTCCATCAGTGAAGGGGAGAGGGAGAGGTGGGAGCGGGAGGGGGAAGCTGCCAGGAAAGGAGCATTTGAGCAGAGGCCTGAGGAAGGGATGAACGTTTCCAATAAAAGACCGCCTAGTACAGGGGTCCTGGGGTGGGAACCACAACAGGTCCAAGCAGCAGATGATGGGCAGACACTGTCTGTCCTTCACCAAGTGTGTTGCCCCTCAGGTCCTACAGGGGCCTGCTGCTGGCTCTCATCACCTCCCTCTTCCCCTCAGATGCCTTCCCTGTGCTGGTAATAGGCAGAGAACCCACACTCCCTCACAGGCAGAGGACTGACACTCCCTAACTTTGACACTCCCTAACAGGCAGAGAACCAACACTCCCTAACTTCAGCACACCTGGAGAAACCAGCCCACCCAGCCAGAGCCACTGCCTCAGGCCAGAAGTTAGAGAGCTGGGATCGGAGGATCTGGGACGTGTTGCCTTGCGGCCAACACCAAGGGCCAGGCTGGCTTCATCGTGCCACTAAGGCTGCAGTATAAAAGATACAAATATACACATGCAAGTTCACACGAAATACAGATAGTAAAGACAAGTGACTCACACTCCTCCAGCAGCAGGGGGCCCCAGATCCGCCTGTGTGTGCCTAGTGGCCCAGGGGGCCCCAGATCCGCCTGTGTGTGCCTAGTGGCCCAGGGGGCCCCAGATCCGCCTGTGTGTGCCTAGTGGCCCAGGGGGCCCCAGATCCGCCTGTGTGTGCCTAGTGGCCCAGGGGGCCCCAGATCCGCCTGTGTGTGCCTAGTGGCCCAGGGGGCCCCAGATCCGCCTGTGTGTGCCTAGTGGCCCAGGGGGCCCCAGATCCGCCTGTGTGTGCCTAGTGGCCCGGCCTCCCCCAGGGCAGATGCCCAGTGTGTGCCTAGTGGCCGGCGGCAGACGCCCTGTGCTCCAGCACAGCCACCACCTCTCCTCCCTCGGTTCTGCTGGGTAGAGCAGGGTCCCCCCCTCCCAAGTCCCCCCCAGGACGCCCCCGCTCAGCCACTGCCCCCCTCCCCTGGCGCAATGGTCCTGCAGTGTGTGCCACATTCCAGGGCAAGAGGAAAAGCCCTAGACCCCTGGCCACCTCCCCGCGGGGCCTCACACTCCACCAACAACCCCTTGCTGTGGTCACCGCATGCTGTGGGGGCAGGGCACACCCAGGCGCTTCCTCACCTCATCCCACTCAGCCCAGCAGGGCCTCCCTGCCCCCACCAATTTCCCTTTACAGCCCTGAGCTGCCTCCAGCCCAGTGAGGCCCTCCAGCCCTGGTTAGCTCCTCCAGCCCTGGTTAGCTCCTCCAGCCCAAGTTAGATCCTCTAACCACAGGACTCGGACTGCCTCTGAGGTTCTGTCAGGGAAAATGATGGATCTCCAAGGAGGTCATGAGGCTCTGCACACACACACACATACACACACACACAGAGTTCCGCAGACACACAGATACCCAGACAGACACATATAGACACACACAGACACAGAGAAAGACAGACATGCACACACAAATGCACACAGATGGGGGCTGGGAAGGTGGCTCAGGGGTAGAGCGCTTGCCTTGAATGCATGAGGCCCTCAGCACCACATAAGCAGAAAAAAAACCCAGAAGTGGCGCTGTGACTCAAGTGGTAGAGCGCTAGCCTTGAGCTGAAGAGCTGAGGGACAGCGCCCAGGCCCAGAGTTCAGGCCCCACGACCGGACCCAAAAAAACAAACAAATACACACAGCTACTCGGACACTCAGACAGCACAGCACAGAGAGACATGCGCCACACAGAAAACACACAGAGCCTCCTCCTCCCTCCGAGGGCCAAGGCCAGCTGTGCGCACCCACCCCAGTCCATGACACCTGTCGCCAGCAACCCACAGCCAGCGGAGAACCAGACCCGTGGGACGAGGAGTGGAGCATCTGCCTTGCCACGTGGCCATGCCCCACTGCTCGCTAGAAAACGCCAGAGCGCTGCTCTGGGGCTTATTTCTAGGCAGCAGTCATGGTTTGGAAGGGCCAGCACCACTCTGCCTTCTCCTGCCTCCTGGTTTCTAAGTCACAGCTGCTCAGCTGGGGAGCCCTCGCGGCCTCCGGGGCCCAAGCTCTGGCAGGAGGCGGCATGCGGGGGGCGGGGGGGGGCAGCACCCTCGGCCTCGCCCGCGGGCAGCTGCTGCGTGTCTCAGTGCTTGGGCCAGGCGCAGGGCCAGCACATATCCTTGTCGGCCCCTTGCCCCCCACCAGGGCCCCAGGGCCCCTTCTCTGCCCAGCTTGCTGGGCTCCTCGAGGTCCACGGCCACTTGCTATGTCTGCACCCCAACGGCCAGGCATGTGCTTCCCAGCGTCCCAGTCCCTTGTGTGTGTTTAGCTGAAAGGCTGACATCCACACGTCCCCTGGGGAGGAGCCAGCCCACCAGCGCCCGTCCGTCCGTCCGTCTGTCGTCTGGTCGGCTGCAGGGAGCGGCAGACCCTGAGGCATGCACTGGAAGCCTCATTGTTTATGTGAAATTCAACTTTAACTGGAGGACCTGTCACTCCAGCTGCCGCCCTGGGGGAGAGGAGGCTCCTCCTGGGACAACTTTCCCCTGAGGCCACCAGGGGGCGGGGAAGTCCACCCTAAAACCAGACCTGGTGACCGACGGGGGATGTATGTGCAGGCTCCTCCTCGGCGCCGCACTCGGGAGTCCAGGCCTCCTCGTCACTGCTCTGGGTTCTGGCTTGCTGGAGGGGCGGGCTTCCGGGATGTCCACGTTCCCCACACAGACCTTGAGGGTCTTGTCCACGGACGGTCACTGTGGGCCATGCCAGTCAGGACAGTCAGACCCCCTCCTCCCCTGCTGGAAAGGCTGCTGCCTGCATGATTGGCCTCCTAGCCTAAAAAACAGGCTGGGAAAATGTTACTAGACGTGAAAATGCCACCACATCACTGGGAACAAAATGAAACATGAAGTGGGGAGGGAGGGCAGGTGCGGGCTGGCGTCCAGTCATCTGCCAGGCGGCATTTGGAAGGCACCTGTGTCCAGCTAGCCAGCAAGTGTGGGGAGGGGAGGGGGCAGCTGTGGGGGGCAGGAGCCAGGAGGGAAGGCACTGGAGGGTTGGGGGGAGGGGAACGAACTTCGTGTGTGTGGCGTGACCCGATGGGCAATTCTGAAGACAGACACGGGGTTGGAGAGGAGCCAGCAGCGGCACCCCACGCTGGGGACCAGAGAAGAGCCTGGCCTCTCGGCGTCAGAAGGCTGGGCCGTGGGGCAGTGGCCGAGGCCAGGCCGTCGCAGCACATGGTGCTCGCCACCAGCAATCAAACTGCAAGCCACTTGCCTAAGGGATGTGCAGCTGCAGGCCGACTGGTCCTGGGCCCCTCCTCCTGGCCTGCTGGGGACCGCCGGCTGTAATGCAGACTTGAAGGGACAGGAGCAGAGCAGGTGGCTCCCGGGGCCAAGCCGAGCGTGGGACAGCAGGCCCAGCTGGCTCAGGGTCCTTGGGACAGCCGAGCACGACTTACAGCTCAGGGGACACCGGTCTCCGCTTTGCCTCAGCCCACCCTGCCCAGGACACAATGATCACCCTGGCCACACTCGGAGCCCCAGGGTTCCCTGCCAGCAGATGCCTGCATGCCGGCCACCGCCGGGGTCTCCTCAGCCACAGTCCAAAGCCTGCCCTCGAGGGCTCCAGATGGGCCTCTGGACCAGGAAGCAGGGATTCCGCCAGGCTACCCCTGCCAGGGGAAAGGCTGCATCCCCGGGGAGGAAGGGTAGATGGGAGCCTCTGGGCTTTCTGGGGGGGGAGGGGGCCTCAAGCCTAGAAGTGTGGCTCCGAGGTAGAGCATCTACCTGCCCAGCCTAGGCAAGGCCTTCAGATTCCATCCCCAACTCTGCAGGGAAAAAGGGGGGACCCCAAGCTGATGTGATGGCTCAGGCCCACCGTCCTAGCCCTGGGGGCTGAGGCTGGAAGATCACATGGCCAAGGACAGCCTGGACTACACGGTGGGACTATGGCAAATCACAGAAACAAGCCAGGAGCCAGTGGCTGGTGCCTGTAATCCTACCCTGAAACCCATAGCTAGAGAGGTCCTGAAAAGCGGCCAGCCCACCCCTGTCTGTTTGCTGAAGTGACCATCTGTCCCCTGGTCCTTCCAGAAACACTCCTAGTCACTGTGCTACACACACACACACACACACACACACACACACACACACACACACCTCCCTGCCCCAGGGCCTTTGCAGACACAGTTTCTGCTTTCCAGGAGTTCTGAGCTGTAATTTGGGCAGGATCGCAGCTCACACCTCACCTCCAG